ATTCCACATCAACTGAGCAGGTGAAACAACATCAACGTTGTCGAAGCTACTACTACAACATCGTTATCGAAGATACATGATGACCAATGGACCTACACCTATACATGCATCCAGACACCAAGGCCAATGGATGGAATACGTGCTAAACTTGACAAGTATGAGGCATACTGGAGTCACCGACATCGTCACCAATAACCTACTGGAAATGGAAGAGGAGTCAATTGGGTTGAGCATAGAAATCCCCATATCTCTGTGACCAGGACCTTGGATTGATGCTCCACCGATGAGCATGGTGACATCGTCCTACTACAATCACTGGGCAACAACTCTCTTTGCAACAGCACGTAGCAGTTAGAGCGTTACCATGGTATACGGACCGGTACACGACTACTACATCAACCTCACACGCTTGGTGGTTTCTTGACCACATGGAGCAGTTATCATCATTAGAGCATGCTACAGTGCAGCTGAATTCTATTGACCGCAACTCAGGCACAGAAGTATCACCATTCGCTACGCTACTCTGCAACCTGAGTTGGAGCATCACACGTCCCAATACTTTAACATGGGATACCTTCTACCTGCGCTCGTACAGGCCCACGAGTGTGTGGAATAAAGTACAGAGGAGCTGTTGTTCCAACACAACTTGTTGGCTTGATTTTCTCTGACTACTTTGAGCCTTACAACCCTCAGTGCTTGCTGAAAAACTGGGCGCTTTCAGCGTCTACCCAGTTTTGAGGGGGGGAAGTGCGAGAGGATGAGGCTTGTCGAGTCCTTGATCACAACCATTTGCTATTTGCTGTTTATTGTGTGTCATTTTGTGTGTTTTTCCTTTTCTAAAAATCCATACTCTTCTCTACACATTGATATATTTCATACATATCATATGTGTTACGTAGTTTTTCGGACTTTCCTTGCGTGACACGTTTTCTATTGCGTTGAGTGTTCCGTCACTGTCACCGTATCTCTAGAGATCCGGCCGTGGTTCTAGGTGGTGTTCCTACATACCGTTCCACTCAATTCTAGAACTCTCTTAGAAGGTCCTAGTTACCCTTCCCTAGAGTTCTCGTAGGTATAAATAGCATTGACTCTTTTCTTGTAAACATTCAACTCTTTATTATCATCATTCAAGCTTCTGCTAAATTCTGGACCTGTAACAATGACCTATCTGAACCATATCCAAATCAAAGATTGGAACACCACAACAATACCAAGTGAACCAATGGGGTACCTGCACCAGAGGGCCGTAGTTGCGACGGTAGAGGTCGTCCACCAGGGTACCAATTGCCCTGGGGCCCAACCTCCACGACCTCTACCACAACCACCAATCCCAGGGCCCGCTGGCCCCCACGGCAGCTGCAGCTGCCGCCGCTGCTGCCGCTGCTGCTGCTATGCAGTCCTCGAGTCCGAATCTCCAACCTCTCCGTCCACACCCACACCTCCACCACTCGCTGCTGCCGACCCTCCATGACCCTTGCCCCCCTTGCCCTTGCCCTTGCCCCTCTGGCCCGAGGAGGCTGCCGCAACGGTCTTAGTGGCCGCTGTAACCGAGGTAGAGGCTCCAGAGACAGGGAGCTGGGGGCAGAGCATCCCTGAAAGACGGAGACGGCCACCGTGCCAGTGGTGTCAGCGATGGCACGGAGGTGCAACTCAACCGTCTTCAGGGCGGAGCAGAAGTCAGCGATAGTGAGGGAGGTGGGGGACACAGCGAGGAGCGCGTCTCGCGCAGGGCCAGGACGGTCAGGGAGGCGGATAACAAGGAGGTACAGGGTGAGGTAGGTAGGCAAGAAGTGGGTGTCGCGGTGCTTCTCGGGGCAAGCCGCATGCCAGCAAGTTTTGAGGGACTGCAAGTGCGCTACTAGGTCTGCGACAATGGAGACGCAGGCTAGTTTGGGGAACAGAAACGGCAGATCCAGACTGCCTAGGGTGGCTGAGGACTGGGTAGAGTAGCGAGCAAAGGTGGGAGCGGTAGTGGCCATGGCAGGAGTAGCTGAAGTGGGAGTTAGTGGCAGGAAGCAGTAGGCGGCTGCTGGAGGCCGTTGGCCGGCAAACCAGTGGCGTGCTGGCGTAGCCGTCGAGCGGGCAGCGAGGAGCAGCGCGGCTAACGCGGCGAGGAGCGATGCGGCTGGCGTGGCTGGCGAGGAGCGGCGCTAGCTGGCACGGCTAGCGAGGAACAGTGCGGTTGGCGTGGCTGGCGCGGGCTGGCATGGGCGGCACAGCTGGCGTTGCCAGAGCGGGCTGGCGGTGGCTGGCATGGCGAGGAGCGGTGCGGGTGGCGTGGCTGGCAAGGAGTGGCGTGGTTGGCGCTGGCTGGCGCCGCGGGCGCTGGCTGGTGCAGTTGGCGTGGCTGGCGCTGGCTGGCGTGGGTGGCGCGGCTGGCGTGAGCTGGCGACGGTAGGCACGGTTGGCGCTGGCTCGCACGTGCGATGCGGCTGGCGCGAGAGGGCTGGTTGACTCGGCTGGCACTGGCTGGCCCGGTTGGGGCAGCTGACGTTGGCTGACGCGGCTGGCGCGGCCTAGCAACAAAAAGGCTAGGGGCGGCTAGGGTGGACTAGGAGCGGCTAGGGTCGGTCGAAGCGGCTATGGACGGTCGAAGCGGCTAGGGGCGGCGAGGAGCCGCGTAGCTAGGGGCGGAAGCGTGGGTAGGTGGGACCTAACCTAGCTCTGAGATTATGTTAAAGTAGTTCGATTGAAGTGGACTAGAAAGTGGGAGGTGAGATACAAGTACAGGGGTTTGTACCCTCTAAAAGCTGACCAAGCTAGGATACACTAATACATATATCCTAAATACCAAATATATGTTTGTTAATTGACATCTGGCACATTCAACAGTGGATTCTGGAGTATGCCGCACCTCACACAGGTGTGTGTATCATTATGGCACCCACATTTGGTCTGGTACAGGTTTACCTGCTACATTTGTAACATCGTACTTGAGGTCACAAAAGGCTCCTGCCACCACACTATACCATGCATGTTTCTCAAAGAAACAAGCCAAAACCGTTCCTAAAACCACTGTACCACTCATAACTGTATGCTGTACACCCTGACAGTTTGCTTTTGTCTGCTGTGCACCCTGACACTTGACCGCTGCCCCCCATTGTCGCATGGGATGGGTGGGAGTGCAACTGATCTGACCCTCCCTCTGCGTAGGGCGTGGTACATACGATTACGACTTTCCAATCACGTGACTCGACCGTACTGTACCGCTTGATTATTTATCTGAAACACGCCAGAATCGCTCTCAAAATTAATTTACCGTTCTTACCGTTTGAACGATGCTCCATTCGTGATCGTATGCACCACGCCCTTAGCACACCGCAGCCGACAGACGAACCAAACTTTCCTGACTTGACCATCGCCGGCCTGAACGTTCCTATCGTCTCAAGGGAAACTCGATCCGGAAGGGAAGAGCCAGTCGCGTTTGTGTATGCATGTCTTCCCCATGTCTCATACAAGCGTGCTGCTAGCAGTGTGGGCGAACCCACCAGCACCAAACACCCGTATGTATCCATGTACCGTAATGCTTGGCCACCAGTTCTTTCCAAGCGCCGTTGTTGTTGTTGTTGTTTTTTTTCTTCTTTTTTTCGCCAAGTCGTGCTGAGCTGACCCCAAAATGGCGTATTCGACGTTTGAATTCGTGGGCCCCGTGACTAATGCCGCCTTCAACGAACTCGTTATAAAGAGCCAACTTCCAACCCTGGTGCACTTCTCATTCTCCTCGAAATGGTCCAGCGACTCCCAGTCAGTTGCTCGCTACTTTGAGATGCTCACGCTGCGGCATCTCGAGAAGCTCGTCTGCTACGAGCTGGACATCGACAACAGCTCCCAGACGGCCAGGGAGTGCAACATCTCGGCGCAAAGTACGCTGCCCATTGTGATGGTATTTAAGGATGGGAACAGGGTTGAAACCCTTAGTGGCGAGAACATTACACTGACTAGCGTCATGCTAGCCGTTGATAAGTACGTGTGAGTGCTGGCGTGAGGTCCTGCGTGCGCTCCTGTCTTGCCATCATATGTTTTACTTGAGAATAATATTGTGCCATTTAAGGGGAGACTAGACACACACACCAGAGACATGCACTCAGAGATCACCTCATGGGCATGAGCACCCTAAATTACCAGGTAGGGCAGTGGCGTGTCACCCTGCATCACCATTTACCATATTACTGCCTATTCTATTTAGCCATTGCAAAATTACTAGTTGTGGTTGGCGTATTTTGCCACCGCCCCTCATGTGATAGCGGAAGGAAGCTCTTCAATAAAAATTAAGTTGTGTGCAGATCACCTTGTACCCGAAATGCTACGGGCTTGGTTTCTTCAGGTACTACAGTAAAGCACTTCCCATTATTATTCGGGATGCAGTTTGTGTCGAATATCTGCAAACCTACACACGAGGATACAAGGGTGATACACCATACACGACCATTCCGCACCGCTAAACATGTGCAAGAGCTGTACACCATACATGTGCTAGGTTGGTATTTAGTTGTAAATGTATTTAGGTCATGCGATTATAAGAAAGTCGCTCTGGTAACTGTATAAAATGATTGCATAATCTGGAAATGCAGTTTTGCCGAGTCGAACCAAGTTGCTGAAACAAATGGCACACCCCCCAGGCTGGCGTCATGGCGCGTGGGACGACATGGCTGACTAGGAGAGGCCAAGTTTCTCTTGAACCTGCCCTGCACCGTTCAGATACCAATCACACTTGACCAACCATGCTTAGTGGCTTCAGCGGGCAGGTCTGTTGAACCGTCAAGCTCGTTCATTCATTGCAAGTTATTCGATATAATCAGAGGCGGCTCGATGTGCCACTGTAGATTCACTCCACTTCCCTCAGCGGGTGCGCCGGCGTCTACAGTTATCCTGTCCAGGCGCCTCGCTTGATTTCGGGCGGCTCGGCTATTCGCCCCACCAAAAATGCTGGCGAGCGCGGCTAGGCTACCGTGCACCGTATATATTATGGAAAGGCATTTATGGGGTGCTGTTCAAGTCCTATTCTGCATAGCAAGAGTCTCAGACGTATCACAATGGCGCAACGGAGTCATCTGTTCCAGGCTCTCCTAATTGTCTATGGTTTCGCTAACGTTGTCAGAGCAGCCACAACTCCCACAGCAACCGCAGGCCCTAAGTGCGTGAATGCTTTTCCGCGGAGGTCGTTGTGCAAGTTCGTAGATAGCTTGACGTCCCACGTGATCCCCACTCTCGATGGCACCAAGCACCTCACCATCGGCGCCTACCAAATATACCAGGTATGTCCATCCGTAGCCGATACCAAATCGCATATTCAGGAACTTACGACTAGCTTACCAGGCGAGGCTCCCTGTCAACCATGTCCTCACGTGCGACACTTTGTAGGCGAGCCGTAATATCATCGTTACTAGCCATGACCGCTATCATGTGCGGTTTTAGTCGACTCAGAGAAGTCAATCTCCTCATTCTCCCCGTCGCCAGAAATTCCACCGCGACCTGCCGGCGACGAAGCAGTACGCGTACGGCACGAGCCAGAAGAGCGCGTCTTACCCCGGCCCCACGATCGTGGCGCGGGTGGGCGTGGATACGACGGTGACGTGGGAGAACCACCTGCTGGACAACACGCACATGTTCACCGTCGACCCGACCCTCATCATGGGCTACAAGTTCCCCAAAAAGGGCATTCCTATCGGTAAGAGCGTCACCATGTGCCATCCCCATTGCACGTGGCAATTACCCTCGTATGCCGACGGTGACGTGGGAGCACCACCTGCTCGACAACATGCACACGTCCACCGTCGATCCCACGCTCATCATGGGCTACAAGTTCCCCATCGGCATTGGCATTCCATCGGCACGTGCAGCAATTGCGCCCTGCAGGGTACCTTGGAAACGTGAATACCGATAGCAAAGCATAGGAGAGTAACTTTCGGTCTGGTCATGCTTTCCGCCTCTCGTCTCCCCTCACGTTCTCGGTCGTCCCCTCTCGTACTCGGTCGTCCCCTCTTCTCCCCTCCAGTGGTGCACCGCCACGGAGGCAGCCAGCAGAGCTACTACGACGGCCATCCCCTCGCGTGGTTCACCCAGTACGGCGAGAAAGGCCCTACGTACTATTCCAACGACTATAAGTACGTCAACGACGAAGCCTCTACCGTCTGGTACCACGACCACATGGCCGGGATCACCCGCCTTAATGTCGCCGCCGGCATGGCAGGCTTATACCTTATAACGGATCCCAAGGTGGAGTCCAAGTTCACCTGGCTGCCGCCTGCCAGCCGTACGGTTCCGCTCGCGATCGCGGATCGGCTGTTCTTCGCGAACGGGTCGATCAACTACCCGAACGTGGGGATCGTTCCATGGGTGCACCCCAACTGGATCCCCGAGTACATCGGCGACACTAACATGGTCAACGGCGTGGTAAGTCTCGGGAGCATCGGTTATAAGCATCGAGCGACTGGAATGATGTTCGTTGCGGGGCTTGTATCGGAGTTCATGTATTTGCATTCCGAGCGGCAGGGACTTTGAGGGTCATAACATAACCGCTGCTTGGTGACGACGTGACTATCCTTCGTTTCGCAGGTCTGGCCGTACCTCAAGGTTCGCCCGGCGCTCTACCGTTTCAAGGTGCTGGGCGCGTCGAGCGCGCGCTTTTACGAGCTCAAGTTCGTTTGCGCGCAGCGCGCTGATTACCCCAACTTCGTGCCGCCTCTCTCGGGGAAGGTTCTCGACATTATCGAGGTAATGTACCAATCGAGCGTCCACTGTCAAATAAACAGCACTGGTTACGAGTGAGAACCCCTGAAACCTGAATTATTTTGTTTCCCGTGTTGAGCGGGGAATCATGGGTAGCGAACTGAACTGACTGACTCTCGGTTTCGTGAACCATTTCTTCTGGTCGCAGATTGCTAGCGACGGTGGTTACCACGCCAAGCCCGTGTACATAAAATCGCTGCTCCTCACCCCCGGTGCGCGGCACGACATTCTTGTGGATTTCTCCAACCTGCCCTCGACCTGCACTGACGTCATTCTCCAAAACTCCGCTCCGGCGCCTTATCCGGCGGGTGTCGCCGCTGATTGGGACACTGGGCTCGTCATGCGCTTCGTGGTCACCAATCGCGAGCGCTTCCCCGCTCCTAAAATCCCTAGCCAGATTTCGGTAAGTCTAGTGGACGGCTTCTTAGCTCGTTTCTTCCCTCCGGGAGAGTCCCGGCACCTGTTAATCGCGATTAGGCATCGTCTCTCCTCCCCCTTTCCCTCGTCCCGTGCAGTACATTCCGCGGATCAACTTCAGGGACATCCAGCGGGTTCGCTGGCACAGCCTCGTCGAGATAATGGACCCCAAGACCAACGTCCCCATCCGCGTCACCATCGACAAGCTGGGGTTCTCCGACCCCGTCAGGGACTTCCCGAAGCAGGGCTCCAACGAGCTCTGGCACATCATCAACCTCTCCGCCGACGCGCACCCGTTTCACATCCATTTGATCGACCACCGTCCGATCGCGCGGCGCGCGTTTGACGTGGCCGCGTTCCAGGCTGGCAGGTGCTCGTTCCGGAAATCCGCCAGCAAGCCCGCGTGCTGGACGAGCCCTAGAATTCCCGTGGATCCAACTGAGAGGGGGTGGAAGGACACGACGCCCGCGTATCCGGGCCAGGTGCTCACGCTGTGGGCTGGGTGGAAGGATAATGACGGCAGGCCGCTGCCATTTGACGCGTCAGTGGGGCCGGGGTACGTGTACCACTGCCACATGCTGGACCACGAGGATAATGATATGATGCGGCCGTTCAAGGTGGTGAAGTAAGCTGCAGTGAGCGGTTGCTGGTTGCTAGATTTAACTGTGGGCTTGTCAGATAGCTGACAATGATTGTTGCCCCGCAAGTAGTACTTTGAGAAGCATAGTTGCTTCTGCTCGGCGATAGGAATTAGTAGTGCTGACGGACATTGACTGACGGGCAAAGTTACCTGACGGGCTGACTGGCAGCTGCTGCTGACCGTTTTCTGTAGTGTAATTTGCGGCATTGCTGCCATTATGAGCGGAACATCGCGGAGTGGTGATGAAAACTGTCTCGAGAGTGAGTCCCCCGGCGTTTCGTAGCGTATTCGAGATCTGGGGCCCATTATAACAATCGTATAATATTAGATTACAACCACATTGCTATGGCTAATTACATTACTGTCCGGTTAGAAAGTGTAGATCAGGGGCTTCGCACTGATAGTGTAAGAACGCCATGGTTCCCACTCGTTATTGTCATTAGTGGTAGTAGAGGCTATTTTTTGCGCAGTTGAAGCGGGCGCATCATGTCGTTATCCTCGTGATCCAGTATGTGGCAGTGCCACGCATAGCCAGGGCCAGAGGTAGGGTCAAACTCGAAGGGCTTGCCGTCCTGGTTTGAATGTAGGGAGGGGCACAGGCAGAGTAGCAGCGCAGGAGGAAGACGCGAATGTGAGGCGAGAAGAGTATGAGTGTGAGCCATTTAGCACGAGCTTGCGGGAGACAGAGTGAGTAGTGTGGTTGTGCCATGTGTGTGGCTCAAAGGATCTACAACCACAACCACCAAAACCCCCTTCCCTCCTTGCTCCATCTCCTCCCACCTCCATACCTCCCTTCCCCCCCCACCGCCAACCCCCGCCCCACTTCCCCACTCCCGTTGTAGTCAATAATCTCACCTGTCCGTACCAGCCAACCCAGAATGTGAGCACTTCTCCTGGGAATGCCGGCACCGTGTCCTTCCACCCGATCTCGTTCTTGAAGGCTTTAACCTCCGGCGCAGTGTAGCACGAGGGCTTGCTCCGACTGGTGAACGAGCACTCGTTGTCCTGGTACGACTCGACATCGAAAGCGCGACGCGAAACGACCCGGAATTGCACCAGGTGCAGGTGAATGGGGTGCGCGTCGGCCGAGAGGTTGATGATGTGCCAGAGCTCATTGGAGCCCTGGATGGGGATCTCGGTGGGTGGGTCCATGTAGCGGAGCCCGTCTAGGGTGGCCCGCACTGGCATGCCGCTCTTAGGGTCCACTTCCTCCACTAGCTTTTTCCAGCGCACTCTGTGTATCTTGGAGAAGTCTATAGAGGGGACAGGCTGGGTGGGATATGCGAGGGGGGGTGCAGAGTAGGGGAGAGAAGGAGTGAGTGGAGGTTTCTAGAGCGAGACATCACGAGAGCGGATGCAATAGCAGGAAGGGGTAGAGAGAGAGGCAGGACGAGAGCAACGAAGAGGGAAGGGGGGGACAGTGGAAAGGGGCGGGGAGGAAGAGACGCAGCACCGAACGTACAACTATCCTCTTGGGGATTGCTGGAGCCGTGAAGGGAGTCCGGTTGAGGATGACGAACCGCATCACCACTCCTGTGTTCTTATCCACCGCCTCGCCGCCTGGAAATGGCGCAGCAGCATCATTCGTTACAATCACATCCCGGCACGCACCGCCCTGGCGCGCTGCAGCAAAATCCACCAGAATATCGTATCGCTCCCCAGGGGCGAGCAGCAGAGAGGAGAGGAAGACTGGGCGCTGCAGGTACCCCCCGTCGCTGCCTATGAGGGCGAAGTTGACCATGCGGCCGTGCAGGGGGGTCACGAAGTTGGGGTAGTCCTCCCGGCTGGCGCACTGGAAGCGCAGGTTGAAGAAGCGGGCGTTGGACGCGCCGAGCAGGAGGAAGCGGTAGACGGCTGGGCGGACTCTGAGGTACGGCCAGACCTGCAGCATTGGGAGGAAGGTGAGGCAAGGGAATAGGATAAGGGGGAGGGGTGAATGCAAGGGGAGGAAGGAGGGAGGGAGGCAGGCAGGAGGGGAAGGGCAGATGGGGCTTAGGAGTGAGTGAAGTGAGTCGACAGGTGAGGTGACAGGTGAGGTGACAGGTGAGGTGACAGGTGAGGTGACAGGTGAGGTGACAGGTGAGGTGACAGGTGAGTGAGGAGACATGGGAGGAGAGAGGGGGATGAGTGTGTGGGGGAGTTGTCGACCCTGTCACAGAAGGAAGAGAATCCATACAAGCCGGAAGAGATTAATATAAAGCCTCCTCTTTCTTACCACGCCATTGACGACGATGGTGTCGCCCACATACTCCGGAATCCAGTTGGGATGCACTTTAGGATCAACCCCCACGTTCGGGTAGTTAATCGACCCGTTCTTAAAGAACAGCCGGTCTGCGATCGCCAGAGGCACGGTGCGCTTCCAGGGGGGCAGCCAGCCCTTCATGCCCCTCTCATCCCCGTTGCTGTCTGTCGTGATATAGAGCCCCGCCATCCCCGCTACAATGTTGAGGCGCGTCCAGCCGAGCGTGTGGTCGTGGTACCACGTGAGCGATGCTGGCTGGAAGTTGGGGTACACATATGCGGTGCACGAGGAGGATGAAGTGGCGGTGGAAGAGGAGGAGGAGGAGGAGGAGGAGGAGGAGGAGGAGGAGGAGGAGGAGGAGGAGGAGGAGGAGGAGGAGGAGGAGGAGGAGGAGGAGGAGGAGGAGGAGCGAGAGGAGTTATGGGAGTGGGAAGACGAGGAGGAGAAGGTGGGGCCGTGCTCGCCGAACTGAGTGACCCACGCGAGCGGGTGGCCGTCGTACGCGCTTGCAGTCTCACCTCCGTGGCGGTGGGGCACTGAGGGGCAGGCAGGCAGGCAGGCAGGCAGGCAGGCAGGCAGGCAGGCAGGCAGGCAAGAGAGGAAAAACATATCATTTCAATCTCCCTCGTCGCACCAGTGGGAATGCCGCCTTTCTTCTTTTCATCAACAAAAACACCCCCACAGATGTTTTTCTCATTCCGTCGCTCTCTTCTTCCCTCCTCTCACCAGTGGGGATGCCGCCTTTTTTCGGCTTGGGCATCTGCGCCATGAGAGTGTAGTCCTGGGTGAACATGTGCTGCCGGTCCTGCAGCCTGTTGCACCATGTAACCCGTGTGGTAACCCCCTTTTTCGCCACAATCGTTGGCCCAGGGTACGACGCGGTCTTCTGGCTCGTGCCGTACGCGTAGATCTTCGTGGCGGGCAGATCGCGATGGAACCTCTGCACATAGTCACACACAGGGGCACGTACAGTCACACACAGTTGACACGATACAATCGCACACAGGGGACACCATACAGTGACATGACAGTTAGATTGTGCCATACGCGTAGATCTTCGTGGCCGGCAGGTCGCGGTGGAACCTCTGCAGGAGATAGTAGTCGCACACTGGGGGCACGTAGAGTTACGTGACTGTCAGGCACAGTCGTTTACAGTCACACTTCCATCTCCTGGATAAGCAAGAGGCCTTTCACTCGTCCACGGCCTTTCACTCGACCACGGCCTTTCACGAAGGCCCTTCAGGTTGCTCGATTGCATGGGACGGACCGAGCGAAGCGGAACAAATGATAGGGAAGTCTAGTGTTCTGGTTTCCCCCCATCTAGTAGTAGCATCCGCACCTGGTAAGTCTGGTACACGCCGATGGAAAGCGTCTTGCCGCTGCCGCCGTCGAGCACGGGGATGGGGCGCGACGCGAGGCTGTCGACGAATTTGCACAGCGGCTTCGCGGGGAACGCGTTAACACAGCCGGGCCCCGCGGTCGACTCCACCTCCACCGTCGCTAGCGCGCGCGCGGAACGGGAGTGGGCGGAAAGTGAGCGAGCGGAAAGCGAGCGCGGGGAAAGCGAGTGAATATCGGCAGTCCATGCACACGTGGCGGACAGCAAGAGCGCCACGATGGCTATGCTCCAGGAGGAGAAGGAAGCGGGGAGCCTCGTTAGAGCGCGCCATTGTGACGGGCGGTGTATGCTGCGGGGTACTAGCATGGCGGATAACTGGGTAGCGGCGTGGGTGATCAACAGACTGCAGCTATTAGTAAATAAATATGGGGCAAAGTAATATCTGAAGGAACTTATTATCGTGAGATTTACGAAACGAAACGCTAGGAAACGGTGCGGCTTTGTGCAAGTTAGTCCTAAAGAGACGAGAGTCTTGGGGAAGGGGCAGGCTGAGACCCTTATGAGCAGCTCCCGACGACCAAAACAAATGGAAACAAGTCAGTAGGCTACTGCGGGAATAGCTGCAAGCGACTACGACCCGTTACTAGCCTACGCTTCTGTCGAAACAACAGCACATGGTCGTCTGGTCTCCCTTTGCCTCAGCATGGCTCACGGCTTTAGCTTTCGCTGTGGCGCGAAATGTTGTTTCGTGTGGCCTGCTGAGACGGTTGTACAGAGACTGCTTTCCTTGCCCTACCTACCTACCCTCGTCCTGCCGCAGGCAATGCGGGGTCGACAGCTGAGGTGCAGCGAGGTATGGAAGCGAGACTTCATTCCTTGCTTCCTGAGTGGTCTGGTGAGCTGTCTTTTTTGCCGCAAGGCATCAGGATGAAACCATAACAATGGAAGAGAGAGGTGACAATGGCATGCTTCCTCATTGCTCGGTCGTGCTAGGTTTCGCTTGTTTGTGCCTGGTCTCTGGTATGTTGGTATCGGTTCAGATTGATGAGCTCTGTTGCTCAAATGCAACATTCGCGCTTCGGAATATCTTCAGCGTGTATCTGCGCTTCGTACCGTGCCCCTTGCTAGCAAGCCACATCACGCGCCACACACTGCCCTTTCCAGCACCACTTCTGTGTGACGAACACTGTGGAGCACCGCATCGTGAAGATCGTCCAATCATAAATTACCACGCTGGTTCGAACAAACAACTGTGGCTTGACGAAGGGAATCGTGCGTGGTGGGCGACTGTGACATGTCAAAATTCGCCAGCTGAATTTCTTCGCTAGACTTTCCATTTCACTCATTACCAGTTTCGTTGCTATTCGCAGAGTTGCTCTCTCAGACACACGGCAGTAGAGCAGGTTCTGGTGGCTCGGTGCCCACCGACACTTTGCGCCCAATACTCGCTAATGAAGAGTAAACCCAATGTGGGCATAGTTTCCACCATATACTAAGGCGAGCTTAAGTGTAAACACTTTATGTAGCTACTCTCTGCTTATACAAGGCACTCCGTGGTAATTGCCGCGACAATAGCACCCGTACATTAGCTAACAACTCCAAAAGGTCCCTCCCAGCCACCCATGTCATGCTCTTATCCCGAATGCACTTCAAACAATCCTTCATTCGCCAACTGACATCATCGTCTGTGTCTGTGTATCCCAGCCGTCGTAGGCAATTCCCTCTAAAAAATGCGTTGTAGCGAAACCGGTTTCTCCAGGACATGTAGTGTATTCCCGAGCGCAGTGCCAACTTCCTGTGCTGTGTGCTAAAGAGTTTCAAAGGGAAAAGCTCCAATACGACAGCACCACGTGGCAGGAAGAAGAGTGCAGTGGAGAGCAGGGGGTCATGGACTGCAACGAGGAGGAGAGTGCGCTGAAGGGAGAAGGGGGCGCGGGGAGGGGGGGAGTGGGTGAAAAGGGTTACGGAAACCGAGGTGGGGTGAGGGAACGGCGGGAAGTGAGGGGGACGAGTGCAAAGAAGACAGATTCGGAGTGCATTACACTGGGATGGCTAGGAGCACATGGCACAAGGCCCACTCACCTCCATTATTGTCACTTTATCATGGAGTGACGCATTCCCGAGCCGCACCATTGCTATCGGCAGTTCCGGAAAAAACTCTCTGACGAGGGCCACCACCTCCTGTTGGTTCCTCACCCTCTCCACATTGTCACTCTGCACTACAGTCACCTGCCAGGATTTTACTTCTGTGCTCCCCACAGACATGCCCGAGCCAGCAAGTACAAACTTCTCTGTCGGGGCAGCATCGGCGGCAAGATTCCAGCAGATGTCGAAGCAGGGGCCTCAGCTGCTGTTACGCCAGACCTAGCAGTACCAAGACTATGGAGAGTGAGGGTGGAGTTAGTGGGAAAGTTGGTTTCGGTAGGAAGGCCATTATCGTTGTCCTTTAGCTGCTCTGTGTACTGGTCGAAAGAGTCATCCAGCTCCTGTCTTGCCTCCGCTTCAGCATCAGCCACTGGATCCCCCTCCTCTCCCTGCAACCCCTCCCTTTCCTCCTCTCTCTCCTTCCCATTCTCGTGCTCTCCCTGCTTGTTCCCTTGCTGCTGCTTCCTCTCTGCTTCTGCCCCACTACCTCGCTACGCCCTAAAGCCGCGTCTCTGTGCCGCCCTCCTCCTCCCCCTCGTCCTCCTCCTCCTGCTCCTACTCCTGCTCCTCCTGCTCCTGCTCCTCCTGCTGATGCTCCTCCTGCCGCGGCTGCTGCTGCTGCGGCTGCGGCAGTCAGTGGATCTGCCAGGGCGGCGATGCGGCGCTTGTCACCCAAAGGGAGGGCAGCAACACCCGCAGCTAGCCGCTCCACTGGAGAGCCATGGATGGCAAGCTTTGGCGGTATTCTCCTCTCATACACCGCTGGGCGCACTTGCAATTTATTCTCATAGCGCCCCTGAGAAGAGTCAATCATTGCTCCTGGTGCTCCTATCTCCATGTGTGCACCACCAACCTTCAGAAGTACTCTCCCTCTCACAGCACCTGCAACTCCTAGCTCATCTACCTCCACTTTCCTCACACTCCCACTCGCCTCCTTCCCTTCTTCCTTACCTCCACCTATCTCCACCCCTCCGCCCTCCTCCTTCCCTCCCCGCATCACTGCATCTCCCTGCAGGCCCGTGAGGCCTGAGAGGCCCTGCATCAAGGGGATTTTTGGGTTGCGTAGCAACCCTATAAAATCGGTTTCACATTTCGGAGCATTAATATGAACAGTAAATTTTAAGAATTTAGTTAACTGTTCGATGCTACTCCAAAATATGAATCCGAAATGTCCAAAGTGCTCCATCGCGTCGATAAGTACGGCGGATGGAACAATCAGACCGCATGACACATTTCAACAAATTATTATGTATAATTAAACATTCTGTAGGATTGCAAATGACAGGAAACGAATGCATATACCGTAATCCCCCGTATAAAACACCCTATGGTGTTAATAAAAATGCAACGAAATTTTGGGTTGGGTGTAATTAAAGGCAAAAAAAATACAGCACCCAGGAGTTATGGAATGTGCATATGCTACTTTTGATTTGAATTCAACTGTACTTGTGACAGGGCATTGTTCTGAGTCCCATTCTGCTATCTGATCGCGTACCCAACGATTTGGTCCATGTGCATGCCACATCGTCTACGTACGCTGCTGATTTAGTATGCTGCCAGAGTAGCCAATCAGCTTGTGCTGCAGGCAGCCACGTTGATGCCTCCAGCCCACGCTGTGCCAGCACAGCATGGGGTGGCGAAATCAACGGCACATTTTGTCGATGCCTTCTCACGACCGGCCAGCGCACGGAATCACACATTCTGGATGGTCGTGAGAGGCATTTCATGGGCGACATGGACGAGGGAGTCGCCCACGTCCCTGCCTTCCCCTCCAACCCACTCTTGAAGTGGGTCTACCCCGCTCCGTCCTCTCATTTTCAGTTTCGACTCCAGGATGCCTTCAAGACAGCCCCTGCAAGGGCTGTCTAAGGCATCCTCTAGCTCCGTCTCTGTAACGTCCCCCCGCCATGGCCTCAGGCTCTGGCTTGTCTCGCCTTCTGACTCGAAAGGGCCCTTATGGCCAGCAGACGTTTTTACTTCGTCGGTCCTTTGCCGACGGCGATGTTGCAGCGACAGACTCTACAAGCGTCGATGCTGCTGCGACAGATTCTGCAAGCGGCGACGCCGCTGCAACAGATTCTGCAAGCGGCGATGCCGCTGCGACAGATTCTGCAAGCGGCGACGCCGCTGCGACAGATTCTGCAAGCGGCGACGCCACTACGACGGAAGGCCGTCGTCCCCTGCCGCGCGTCAGCGTGCCGAGTTTCCCGGAGCCCATTCGACGACCCCGTGGTCCTACCTTGAATCACGATGTCCATGCCCCCGCATCTCGAAGCAGGATGACAAAGCGGAAGCGCCGCTCGTACTCTGCCTCGGAGAAGTTGTACTGGCTTTCCATGTTCGATGCTCAACCCGACCTCTCTGTGCGTGGACTCGCAAAGCTTGCAGGTGTCCAGCCGGTGTCGATTCGGGAGTGGAAGAATGCTCGCGAACGCCTCCGTGTCGCCGCCGGCTGCCGCAAACGCCTCGTCGGTGCCGGACGTCCCGCGAAGTACCCGACGATGGAGAGCGCCCTCTACCGACAGTTCCTGAGGCACCGCGGGAGGGGGCTTGCCGTCTCCGTCAAACTGCTGCAGAAGTGGAGTCGCTCGTACATGCGCGTACATCATCCCAACGTCGACTGGAGAGCGTCGAGTCGCTGGACGTTCAGATTCCGCGCGCGCTGGGGCCTTACGCGTCGGGTAAAGACGAAGATGGGGCAAAAGCTCGCCGACGGTAAACTGCCGTCCCATCCTTGTTATTGATTCCCTTGCCGCGACTTTCAATATTTGATTCTTTTGATTGTCTTGCTTATCGCGTGTTCATGCCTGAATTTGTTCTCTGACTGTTTTGTTCTATGCAGACATGAGGACGAAGATCGAGAAATTCTGGGAGTTTGTCAAACAGATGCGGATTCTCAACCGGTACAACCTCGACCACATCGTGAACGCCGACCAAACCCCCCTCTTCATCGAAATGCCCCAGGAGAGGACGTTGGAGCACAGAGGCTCCCGTACGGTGCATGTGAGGACGGCCGGCTATGAAAAGGAGCGGCTCACCGTCATGTTGGCAGTCACCGCGTCGGGATTGAAGCTCCCGCCGTATGTCATCTTCAAGCGGAAGACGCTGCCAAAGATTCAGGTTCCCCCGGGTAAGAATCGCCTTTGCTTTTCGCTCTGTGCATAGTGTACACCGATGCATACCCTCTGACTGTTGTTGTGGCTTGTGATTGTATCCAGGTGTCATCATCCGAGCCCAGCCGAAGGGCTGGATGGACGAGAAGCTTGTCCAGGACTGGACTACTCAAGTCCTGAACCCGTTCTTGCGCCCGCTGCGCGAATCGGGGAATAGGCGCAAGGAGGCGCTCGTCATCCTGGACTCGTACAAGGGCCACCTCACGCAAGCAGTCGGGCAGACGATGAAGCTGTGCAAACTTACCCGCGCGGTCATCCCAGGTGGTTGCACGCCTCTCGTTCAACCGCTGGACGTCGCAGTGAACAAGAGCTTCAAGGCCGGCGTGCGCGGCGACTACGGCGCATGGTTTGAGCAGTTCGGCATCGACATGAAGACTGCGGCAGGTGAGCCCCTTCCTAGTCGCTTCCTCAGTAGTTTTTAGACTTCTTGCTTGTTGACGAATTCCACCGTGCCCGTTCCTAGTCGTCATCTTACCGTGCCCGTGTTCTTCTCCTCCCATTATGCTCCCATCCCATGTGCAGGAAATCTGAAGAAGCCCCCGGCTGAGCTCATCTTGAAATGGATTGCTCGGTCATGGGAGGCTGTGCCAGAGGAGCTCGTGCGTAGTTCATTCAAGACGTGCGGTATATCAAATGCGCTGGACGGCACCGAGGACAACCTCGCTCTCCGCCACCTCCGCGGCAAGCCCGACCTCGAGGTGATGGACGATGTCCACGTCGAGGAGGGCGAGAGCGGCTACATCTACCCCCTCTACGACGCCTTCATCGATGTGGACGGGGACGTCGCCGACGACGAAGAGGCGGATGCGGCGTCGTTGGCGGCTGACGACATCGACTGTGCTGAAGCGGCAACCGAAGCAGCTTAGACGAGCGCAGACAATGCAGAGACTGCATCAGCAGCAGCAGCAAGTGTTGATGTGTGGCCGGCAGAAGGCATTGCAGAGGAGGATGACGACAACTGCTGGTGGGATGAGCTTGCAGATGGGAGCGACGTCGAGATGTGGCAGGCTGGTGATGAGGAGCCTGAGGAGGACGACTAGAGCAGTGGCAGAGGCATGAGTATCTGGCGTAGTGTAAGGATTTAAAGTGTAGTGGATAATTTAGGTTCTAGGCAGAGCCAATAGGTAGAATTCAAGCCCTAGGTGGTGCCACTAACTAGTTCTATGGTTAATTCTGTTGAGTAGTAACTACGTGTACTCTAGTTGTATTGCTAACGTCTAATTCAAGAAGTTGTATAAAGGAAAACGTAGAAAAAAACGTTTTTTCATCTCGGGGGGGGGTGGTGAAATGTTTTCAAGGCCAAGGGTAGGGTGGTAACTAAATCCAGTTAAATTAAACACCCATACCCGCTCAAGCTACCCGGGGGAGCTTAATTCCGGCGGGTGTTTTATACGGGGGATTACGGTAGGCATGAATAGTGTTGCAGTAGAGATTGATGGGGTGCACGATGACAGCGGAACTGCCCCGAACACGATGACAATCTCTAATTGCAACAACTAGCCAATAAGCAGCACGCTCGGGGCAAACGCAATCCAAACACACCTCGTGCCAGCCACCACATCTCGTCGATACATACAGTGATGGAGTGAACATGCAACTACGATAGGATTGTGAGTGCTACGAGACGTTTGCATATATGCGTCAATGCTGCAACAGAGATTGATGGGGTGCGCAATGACAACAGAGTTGCCCCACGCACGATGACAACCTCAAATTGCAACACCTTGCATATAAGCAGCACATCCGAAGCAGACACAATCCACGCCTTATCACATTTGCTGCCACACGCACTATGCACATGGGGACTAGGAGCAGCAGGCACACCCCGAAACAGACAGTATTTATCAAACCCATGCACACCCCTCAAATGCAAACAACAATCAAACAAACACATGCACCATCGCAAATAGCCTAATAGTTGGAGTTCCCAATATCCAAATTAGAGAACAGTGGTAACGTCGTGCAATCGGAAATCTGTCCCCGCAAGATGTTCCAACAAGCAATAGAAATTGGTGTTGGAAGATGTTCTTTGTCTTGCGGCTGCAACAGACAGCGCGTGCTGTACGACCTGCACAGTACACCAGTGAATCATAGAAACACATACGTTCAAAAGTGGACCACATAATTTGTTTATATGCACTTATGGTGTTGGATATTGCGTTTGGGGTTTCAGGTTTGGTGCGGAACATGGGATGAAACTCAGAAATATAAAAAAAACGAGAGTAGGCAAAACTCACGCCGACCACATTGATTTCTTAAGACAGTAAATAAGACAGTAAACAACCAGACATTATATGCCCATACATGCATACAGCCATGCATGCTATGCCCATATATGCATACAACTAGCTATGCTATGCCCATACACACATGCAGCCAGGCATGCTATGCCCATACACACATACAGCTAGGCATGCCATCCCCATACACACAATCAGCCTGGCATGCTATCCCCATACATGCATACGGCCAGGCACGTTATGCACATACACGCATACAACTAGGCATGACATGCCCATACACACACACAGCCAGGCATTCTACGCCCATACATGCATACATCCATGCATGCTATGCCCATACATGCATACAACTAGGTATGCTATGCCCATACGCACATACAGCCAGGCATGGTATGCCCATACACACAAACAGCCTGGCATGCTATGCCCCTACATGCATACAGCCATGCATGCTATGCCCATACATGCATACAACTAGGTATGCTATGCCTATACACACATACAGTCAGGCATGCTATGCCCATACACACATCAGCTAGGCATCCCATCCAAATACACACATGAAGCCAGGCCTACCATGCCCATACACCCACACAACCAGGCATGCTATGCCCATATACACATACAGTCAAGCATGCCATTCCCATACACGCATACAGCCAGGCATACCATGTCCATACACACATACAGCCAGGCATGCTATGCCCATACATGCATACAGCCAGGCATGCTATGCCCCTACATGCGTACAGCCAGGCACGTTATGCCCATACACACATACAGCCAGGCATGCTATGCCCATAAATGCATACATCCATGCATGCTATGCCCATACATGCATACAGCCATGCATGCTATGCCCATACATGCATACAGCCATGCATGCTATGCCCATACATGCATACAACTAGGTATGCTTCGCCATACACACATACAGCCAGGCATGCCATGCCCATACACACATACATCCAGGAATGCTATGCCCGTACATGCATACAGCCATGCATACAGCCATGCATGCTATGCCCATACATGCATACAACTAGGTATGCTATGCCCATACACACATGCAGCCAGGCATGCTATGCCCATACAACACACATACAGCTAGGCATGCCATCCCCATACACGCATACAGCCAGGCATACCATGTCCATACACACATACAGTCAGGCATGCCATGCCCATACACACACACAGCCAGGCAAGCCATGCCCATACACACACACAGCCTGGCATGCTATGCCCACACATGCGTACAGCCAGGCACGTTATGCACATACACGCATACAACTAGGCATGCTATGCCCATACACACACACAGCCAGGCATGCTATGCCCATACACGCATACAGCAAGGCATTCTATGCCCATACATGCATACAGCCATGCATGTTATGTGCATACATGCATACAACTAGGTATGCTATGTCCATACACACATACAGCCAGGCATGCTATCCCCATACACACATACAGCTAGGCATGCCATCCCCATACACACATACAGCCAAGCATACCATGCCCATACACACACACAGACAGGCATGCTATGCCCATATACACATACAGTCAGGCATCCCATTCCCATACACACACACAGCCAGGCATGCTATGCCCATACACACATACAGCTAGGCATGCCATCCCCATACACACATACAGCCAGGCATACCATGCCCATACACACACACAGCTAGGCCCATATACACTTACAGTCAGGCATGCCATGCCCATACACACACACACACAGGCATGCTATACCCATACATGCATACAGCCATACATGCTATGCCCATACATGCATACAACTAGGTATGCTATGGCCATACACACATACAGCCAGGCATGCTATGCCCATACACACATACAACTAGGCATGCCATCCCCATACACACATACAGCCAGGCATACCATGCCTATACACACATACAGCTAGGCATGCTATGCCCATACACACATACAGCCAGGCATGCCATGCCCATACACACACACAGCCTGGCATGCCATGCCCATACACGCATACAGCCTGGCATGCTGTGCCCATACATGCATACAGCTAGGCACGTTATGCACATACACGCATACAACTAGGCATGCTATGCCCATACACACATACAGCCATGCATTCTATGTCCATGCATGCATACAGCCATGCATGCTATGCCCATACATGCATACAACTAGGTATGCTATGCCCATACACACATACAGCCAAGCATGCTATGCCCATACATGCATACAGCCATGCATGCTATGCCCATACATGCATACAACTAGGTATGCTATGCCCATACACACATACAGCCAGGCATGCCATGCCCATACATACATACAGCTAGGCCATCCCCTTACACACATACAGCCAGGCATACCATGCCCATACACACACACAGCCAGGCATGCTATGCCCGTATACAAATACAGTCAGGCATGCCATGCCCGTACACACACACAGCCTGGCATGCCATGCCCATACATGCATACAGCCAAGCACGTTATGCACATACACGCATACAACTAGGCATGCTATGCCCATACACACATACAGCCAGGCCTTCTATGCCCATACATGCATACAGCCATGCATGCTATGCCCATACATGCATACAGCCATGCATGCTATGCCCATACACACATAGAGCTAGGCATCCCATCCAAATACACACATACAGCCAGGCCTACCATGCCCATACACACACACAGCCAGGCATGCTATGCCCATACACACATACAGTCAAGCATGCCATGCCCATACACACATACAGCCAAGCATGCTATGCCCATACATGCATACAGCCATGCATGCTACGCCTATACATGCATACAATACAACTAGGCATGCTATGCCCATACACACATACAGCCAGGCATGCTACGCCCATACATGCATACAGCCAGGCATGCTATGCCCCTACATGCGTACAGCCAGGCACGTTATGCCCATACACACATACAGCCAGGCATGCTATGCCCATAAATGCATACATCCATGCATGCTATGCCCATACATGCATACAGCCATGCATGCTATGCCCATACATGCATACAGCCATGCATGCTATGCCCATACATGCATACAACTAGGTATGCTTCGCCATACACACATACAGCCAGGCATGCCATGCCCATACACACATACATCCAGGAATGCTATGCCCGTACATGCATACAGCCATGCATGCTATGCCCATACATGCATACAACTAGGTATGCTATGCCCATACACACATGCAGCCAGGCATGCTATGCCCATACAACACACATACAGCTAGGCATGCCATCCCCATACACGCATACAGCCAGGCATACCATGTCCATACACACATACAGTCAGGCATGCCATGCCCATACACACACACAGCCAGGCAAGCCATGCCCATACACACACACAGCCTGGCATGCTATGCCCATACATGCGTACAACCAGGCACGTTATGCACATACACGCATACAACTAGGCATGCTATGCCCATACACACACACAGCCAGGCATGCTATGCCCATACACGCATACAGCAAGGCATTCTATGCCCATACATGCATACAGCCATGCATGTTATGCGCATACATGCATACAACTAGGTATGCTATGTCCATACACACATACAGCTAGGAATGCCATCCCCATACACACATACAGCCAGGCACACCATGCCCATACACACACACAGACAGGCATGCTATGCCCATATACACATACAGTCAGGCATGCCATTCCCATACACACATACATCCAGGAATGCTATGCCCGTACATGCATAGAGCCATGCATACAGCCATGCATGCTATGCCCATACATGCATACAACTACGTATGCTATGCCCATACACACATGCAGCCAGGCATGCTATGCCCATACAACACACATACAGCTAGGCATGCCATCCCCATACACGCATACAGCCAGGCATACCATGTCCATACACACATACAGTCAGGCATGCCATGCCCATACACACACACAGCCAGGCAAGCCATGCCCATACACACACACAGCCTGGCATGCTATGCCCACACATGCGTACAGCCAGGCACGTTATGCACATACACGCATACAACTAGGCATGCTATGCCCATACACACACACAGCCAGGCATGCTATGCCCATACACACATACAGCTAGGCATGCCATCCCCATACACACATACAGCCAGGCATACCATGCCCATACAAACACAAAGCTAGGCCCATATACACTTACAGTCAGGCATGCCATGCCCATACACACACACACACAGGCATGCTATACCCATACATGCATACAGCCATGCATGCTATGCCCATACATGCATACAACTAGGTATGCTATGGCCATACACACATACAGCCAGGCATGCCATGCCCATACATACATACAGCTAGGCCATCCCCTTACACAAATACAGTCAGGCATGCCATGCCCGTACTCACACACAGCCTGGCATGCCATGCCCCTACATGCGTACAGCCAGGCACGTTATGCACATACACGCATACAACTAGGCATGCTATGCCCATACACACATACATCCAGGGATGCTATGCCCGTACATGCATACAGGCATGCATGCTATGCCCATACATGCATACAGCCATGCATGCTATGCCCATACATGCATACAACTAGGTATGCCATGCCTATACACACATGCAGTTAGGCATCCTATGCCCATACACACATACAGCTAGGCATCCCATCCAAATACACACATGAAGCCA